CAGTGTGCACCTTACAGTGTGCCAAGGAGCACTGGCATGTTGCCCATGGAATATATATCAGATGCAGTAACCTGAACGGAAATCTACAACAAAAAAATTGTCACACCATACTGCACTTAAAATTCATTCAAGATCTATTTAGTTAATACCAGTACTTTCTTTTAACATCATGTCCTGGGTTCAGCAGTAGCAGTCATGTTTCTCCTTCTTGGTAGCTGGTGTAGTGCAGTGTTTTGACTTTCAGCTCGGGAACAGAGCTGATAGCGATGTTTTGGTTTGGCCAAGGACTTTGTGAGCCTCATGCTCTGCCAGGGGGGAGGGGAAGCCAGGAGGAAGCAGAGACAGGACACCTGACCCAAACTGACCAAAGAGGTATTCCATACCACAGCACGTCATGCCCTGGATGTAACTGGGAGTTAGCCGGAAGGGCTGGGAGACTGCAGGGTTGGAGGAGGTATCGGTCGGTGCTTGGTTGGGCTTGGGGGGCGAGTTATCGGTCGGCTGGTGCTGAGGTGTTGTATTCTCTCCCTTGTTATTTCCTTTATCATTATTATCACTGGTGGTAGCAGTAGTGATTTGTGTTATACCTTAGTTACTAAACTGTTCTTATCTCAACCTGTGGGAGTTGCATTCTTTTCGATTCTCCTCTCCGTCCCTCTGAGAGCAGGGGGAGGGCAAGAAAGGGGGGGAAGTGAGCGAACGAATTACCTGACTGGGTTTAAACCACGACAGTTCTTTTTTGGCGCCCAACGTGGGGCACGAAGGGTTGAGATAACGACAGATTTGACTGGATTAATAGTCACTCGTCACAATGCTGATTTATTGGCTCTCAGAGTTGTTCTTGTTGATCTCACAGCTTCAGACCGTTGTAACTTACTTAGAGCCGGTATTTGCTGTGTTAGTGTTTATCAAGTGTGGGGCCTGGGCTAAGGTTCTTGTCTCACTGTGCTTTATGGCAATGCCTTGTAATACGGGTGGGCTCCAGCAGCAGGGCGGGACGGACGTGGCCGTGGACTTGTACCTGGCCGTCCGGCTGCTCTTCACCGTCCTGGCCCTCACCCTACTCTCCATCTTCGTGAGGCTGCGGGGAGCCGAGGGGGAGCGGCCCCGGGAGCCGGCGGCAGCCGAAGCGGCCCGGGAGAGCGGCCCCGGGCACCAAGCGGCGGCGGGAGCGGGGCCGGAGGCCGCGAAGGGACGGCTGCCGGTGGAGGAGGTCGGGGCGGTCGAGGAGCGGAAGGAGGCGGCTGCTGAGCAGCGGGAGAAGGCGGCGGAGGAGCCGAGCCCCGCGGCGGAGCCGAGCCCCGCGGCCGAGCCCAGCCCCGCGGCCGAGCCGAGCCCCGCGGCCGAGCCGAGCCGCGCGACGGCCGAGAGCATCCCCCGGAAGCCGCCTGCCGAGCCCCAGGAGGATGCAGGAGACCACGCAGCATTTCCCAGCAAGGCAGAGGAGGAAGAGCTGGACTCAGGAAAAGAGAAGCCGGTGGTGGGAGAGCCGGCAAGCACAGCAGCTACACCAGCCCCAGTGACAAGCACAGCAGCATCCTCTGAGAGTTCTGAAGGCTCTGAATGGCCTTTGGGTATCCTTGGGACCTGCCTGCTGATTGTGATAGGGATCAGCATGTTGGCACACACACAGGCTGTGTTCTACCCACCACCATTTTGTCTGATCTCAAAAGTTAAGCAGAGTCAGGTTCGGGTCTTGTCTGGGGTTAGACAACAATATAGGGGGACCAAGAGATTTTCCCCAAGGCTGGACAGTCATGAGTGGCAGGGTGTGTGGGACAGTATGGGCAAGTATCTAGTCCACTGGGCCCCTCCAGTGCTTTGGAAGCGTCGGAGATGGAAGGCAGCTGTATGGAGTCCCCAGCAACAAGCTGCAGAAACTGCTGAAGGGGACAGTGAATTATTTTAAGCCTGGTGGGCCCATGGCACTTCAGGCCATCAGAGCAGAGATGCAACACAGAGAGGGACTCATGATCGAGGGGTGGACTTAACAATGGACACTATTGCCCAGGTTATTCACGAGTGTGAACACTGCACACAGTCTCTCCTGCTCTGGAAGACTGTTACAAGAGATGGAGCCTGACATGGACCAGATGGATGCAGCAGCTTTATAGGGACTGGTCCATGCACTAAGTTAAGAGTGCACCGAGATAAGAGTGATGGTATATTGAAAATGTGGGATCTGAGCACGACGTGAATGGTATGGAATAAGGGGTGGATAATGTCCTGGGTTCAGCAGTAGCAGTCATGTTTCTCCTTCTTGGTAGCTGGTGTAGTGCAGTGTTTTGACTTTCAGCTCGGGAACAGAGCTGATAGCGATGTTTTGGTTTGGCCAAGGACTTTGTGAGCCTCATGCTCTGCCAGGGGGGAGGGGAAGCCAGGAGGAAGCAGAGACAGGACACCTGACCCAAACTGACCAAAGAGGTATTCCATACCACAGCACGTCATGCCCAGGATGTAACTGGGAGTTAGCCGGAAGGGCTGGGAGACTGCAGCGTTGGAGGAGGTATCGGTCGGTGCTTGGTTGGGCTTGGGGGGCGAGTTATCGGTCGGCTGGTGCTGAGGTGTTGTATTCTCTCCCTTGTTATTTCCTTTATCATTATTATCACTGGTGGTAGCAGTAGTGATCTGTGTTATACCTTAGTTACTAAACTGTTCTTATCTCAACCCATGGGAGTTGCATTCTTTTCGATTCTCCTCTCCGTCCCTCTGAGAGCAGGGGGAGGGCAAGAAAGGGGGGGAAGTGAGCGAACGAATTACCTGACTGGGTTTAAACCACGACACATCACAATCACTACAACATATGGAGGGTGCCTTAAGGGAGCCATGACTCAATCCTTGAACATTTTTTACAGGTCCTACCTAACACTGCATTACAATCTCCAAGGAACTGGAAGCTCAAACTCACCAAGGATTCGAGGTGAGAAAAATAAATAATCAAGCCACCCACTTCTACACTGTACATAGCTTCTGAGCAGCCTTTTATGTAGTATGAAGCAGATATAAAAATGAGAAGGAATAGATCACCCTCAGCCATTTGTCATATTATAGAACGAAAAAAAACCCTGACACAGCCAGAGTATTAATAGTGGAATATGAGGGAACCTTTTTTGGAGGAAGGGCAGAAAAGCATCTCTGAACAAGCTGTACCCACTGTTTTCTTTAAGTCAGAAGCTTGGCCTATTTTGAAGCTGTTGTACCTATTTTAAACCTGTTTTACTATTCCGTTACTACACAACACATATAGTGAAGACATAAATAACAGTACATGCTCAAAAATGTACTTCTGGAAAAATCAACTTAAACCATTGACCAATGTTTAATAGGTAAGGCAGCAAAGTGAAAATTAATGTGTTTTATGTATAAACTCAAAGTCTCTTAAAGATCCTGTCCACAACCCTGCTTCTGGCAGATATTTGAAAGATTACAGTATCATGGTCTATCAATGAAGAATATCTTAACAGGACCATTCTCTGTATAAAACATTGTCTTGTACTCTGCACCAGTGGCCAACATCCATGTAAACATAGCCTCATGTAAACATAGCCTCTTTCATTAGAAGTTAATCATAGATTAGTCTTAGCTCAACTATTTGTCATTAATTAAAAAGCATCATGAATTAACACTATCCTATAGTCAGAAGAATCTATGAAACATAAAAGTAGATGCTGTCTCAGTATGCAGTATGTTATCAAGTAGAAACCTCACTGCAAAAGTTGCAGTTCAGAAAAAAGCAATATACTTTTATTCTGCTAGATAGTGCCATACTCCTACCTGCTAAAGGAACTGTAAATATTACAGTGAAGCTACATTAATTGTGCTGAGCTTGTATAATTAGGCTTGTAAATCAACAATACTTTGACTATTATTTTTCCTGCCTAACCACTACAACTAACTTTACAGAAGCCATCTGATATACTCACTATATACCTTTCACTGAACACAGTGGCTTTATTTATCCCCACTCATTTTCTGTTTTTCAGCCAGATTCAAACACAATTCAGCATTGGGATAAAACTGTCTACAGTATTACCCCTGCAAACAGCCATGGCGAAGGTGGAAGACAGCAGAGGCAAGTGCAATGATGACAATGTGTTGCTTAACTGAAGGAATGGACATAAAAGATTCAGGCCTTTACCTTATACAGTCCACCTCAGATAATATTTCAATGCCTAACATGCAATGCAATCTGTTACTATATTGAAATATTCTGGTTCAATGAATTTATTAACCTGTGAAAGTGAGAACACTCACCTCTTATGCTTTAGGTTTGTTTCCATTTGGCTTGGTTCTACTTGATAAATTAATGACAAGCTTATGAATAAATTTGATTTTCCTGCCAAATTAAAACTGGTTTTCTTGCTTTAATTCTGGCTTGATGTACTATACCCTGACTTTGTACAAAGCTCTCTGTCATTATAGGTGGTTGTTACCCAAAATTAAAGAAACCATTTTCCTCTGAGAATCAATATGAAATTTCAGGCTGGCTTTGGAGTATTTCCCTTGACCTTGTTACAGATTTTTGTCTCCAGGTGAGCTTATTGCAGCTTTTTCTACTCAAAAAAGCTTGGTGGCATATTGCTGTTTGAAACCAGTATCAAGTTTCAGAGTAACAGGTTAACAACTTCAGGAACCAAGAGAAACAATCTCTGGTCAACTGCCTGAATCTCCAAAATGATACACAGAGTAAGAGAATATTGAAGAATATTTTAACACACAGATGGCAAACTGCATGTACAACCACAGACAAAGAGAGAACACACATCATTTTCCCATAGAAGTTCTGACAGGATAACTGTGCTATCTATCTGGACTTTTCTACAGGGAGAAGAAGCTACAGATCTTACTCTAACTACCAAGCTACTATTTTCAAGTGCAGATTTATCACTTTTGTCATTTCTTTGTTACACATCCATATTTCTAAACAAGAATACATGCAAATTTCTGAGTTTTGTGAGAATATATCATACATAAGTACTTACTATTCAGAGAAGTCTTACCTGCTACCAAGGATTGGCTCCCCAGAGGCTCCCAAAGCAGAATAGTCCATGCCATAGAAATTCAGCCCTAAAAGTATTTTATTCCTCCATTTTGAATCAGGATCCAGTACTTGAACACAGGCTCGTACCCAGGAAAGAGGGGAATTTGGACCAGGCCTGTCAAGTTAGCGAGAAACAAACAGGTTGTCAGAAAAAGTGCACATTCATTCTTGGCCTTCTCTTTTTGCCTAGTATAAATTGTAAAAAGCAAACTATGGCACACAAAAATCATTGAAGGTTAGCCTACAGTATATAAAGGTTAAATGTACATTCTCTAGTGGCTTGAAGTGCTGAAGTACAAAACATGCTTGCCCCACTCTTGACTTTGTGATTCCCTTCCAAGGTGAAGGGACACAAAATGTCTTAAGAGTGGGTAAGAAAAGGTTTCCACCTAGCACATTTTCTTTGTCACTGGGCCTGGCACAATGCCTACACAGTAATTCACAACTCTTTATGACTTTAGCTTTTTTCAGTAACATCCTCAATGTTTTTACTGTAAACTGGCACAACATACTGGGACGAAATCCGCCATTTATCTACAGAAAGAACTAGAAAATCAGTGATTGGTTTCAATAATTGTTTTAAGGCTTATTTATGGACAAAATCCTAAACAGGCAACTACTCAACAAAAAGCTAAATTAAGAACAAGGGCAGAGCCTTAATTCACAGAGTAAATGAATTGTCATACATACAGCATCAGGACATGGTGCTCTTTCCACTCCTCTCTCATCAGAGAGGAGAGCAGACTTTATCGCAAACACTCGCTAACATGGTAAAAGGAAAAGCATATTTTAGTTTTACAAATATCAACAACATCTACTCCCTTCTAAGTACCTGCCTCAGAGCCTTCTGGATATCTGTGCCATTAAAACTCAATCTGCTAATACAGTACAGGAATGTTGCTGGAAATTGTGTCCATATTTAAAGGCAAAAGAATTGTGACAAAACAGTATGTACTATCCTGCATTTCACATACTTGGACCAATCAAGGCAAATTCAGGCAAAAAAAAGATTTTATTTCTGTCAAATCCCTTCTCAGACTAAAAGCATTACATGTTATAAACTATATTTATTTCAAATACAGCGGGTATGAACTGAAGAATGCTTCCCTCCTCCTTTCAAGTAAAAAAGATTAGGAACTCCAAGTCAGGTCTAAGTAATTTAAAGCACCAGTGAAAGTATAAAGATGTGACTGTACTACAAGCTGTGATTTTAACATGGCACAAAGCATGGTGCAGCTCTGCCACACAGGAAAGACATAGCCTACAGAACAGAATTCTGAAATGCATTCAGGGTTCCAGATGGGTTTGTATAGCATGAACAAAAGCCCTTATCACTTCAACTTCATAGATCTCAGATTTACCTAGAGGAAACCTAAGCTGGATACATCGATGCTGCATATTCCAGCAGGAGAGTAACAAAAAATTGTTTTAACTTCAGTACATATTACTGTCTATGTTTGTTCTCCTCTAGGTCGCTTGGCTTGAAGATGCAGAGACAGGCCTGGGGAAGCAGGTATACAAATTCTTTTCAGAAGAGACAAAAGTTGCTTTCTGCTAAACCTGTCTAGACATTATCAAAATGCTAACATACTACAAGTGACAAAGATTTTAGCGATATAATAAAAAACAAAAATTATGGCATTTCTAAATCTGTCAGTTTACCACAAATATTAACTCTGGACAGTCCCTTGAAGCAAGACACACAGAATCTAACAGGAATTCCAAAAGCATGTCCTTTCCCTACGATTTGAGGTGAACCATGCTTTTGGAGAACAGTAACATTAAAGAGTCCCTGCAAAATTTAAGGACCTCAGCTACACTGCTGTTTCACTTTCACTCGGTTAAAAGTATTAACTAGTACTCCTGAAAATTAGTATTCATGTACAAGAGTGAGGTTCTGTATTATTTTCCAGTCAGATCAGTTCCCTGATCTGGTTTGATGAACTGCCATATAAGAAGCTGTATCAGGGAGGCACTCTGCTGCCTAGGATAAGGCAAATGAGTTGTCATTGTTGAAAAAATTAGCTTTGAAGCACAACTGACATGTATTAGATTATTCATGTACCTATCCTGCAGAACTGTGCTACAAAGTAATAACAAAAGAACCTGCCCTGGAAAAGAGTAAATATCGTGGAACTAGTAAAAAAGTATTTTTTTACCTTGAGTACAAAGCCTTTCACAATATCTGGGTGCCAAATGTATTTTCCTGTTAAACAATGTCCTGAGCTCTTGGTTTGTTCAAAATTCACCTATCCTAATTAATAATCCAAAACCTCATTAACTAATACAGTTACAACACACTATCAACTTTACTAAAAAAATGACCTCATACTGTAGATTTAATAGTGACTGAACTGGGAGTCAGTTCCTTCAGCAATCTTTTTGTAATGTTAGATGGAGTCTTACCGTTGTGGTGTTGAATAGTCGTATGTCATGAGACTGAAGCTGTCTATTGCTGAGGCCAACTGATCAAATTCTTTCTTTGTGAACATTCCTGGCTGGTTAGTCCTTTTAAAATAAACCAAAACAAAAACAGGAAGAGATAAATTACTACAATAACTTGGCTTATTCTTTCCTTCAGGTTTCATACCATTTGATCAGGTAAGAAAAATCTTTCATTCCAAAGGTGGCAAAACAAAGATGCTGCAATGCCATTCTTATAATAAACGTCAAAGAAAAGAAAAATCTCATCCATTTCTTCCACCGGGGGGGGGGGGGGGGGAGGGAGGGGAGGGGGGAGGAAGGGGGAAAGAGGGAAGGGGAAGAGAAGAAATCTATTCGATGACTTTCTCTAGACAGAAGTCTAGTTATGCCTTCTGCACGTCTTTGCATGAAATATGGAACATGATTTTTTTACTTCCCCCTTTTTTTGCTTATTCTTGATTTACAAAATCTAGCATTGGGTCAACATCTACTTTAGCTTCATGGTTGAGGGGTTGTATTTTTGACAGCTGACTTTCTTCAACCATTCAACTCGGAAACAATGCACGCAAGTTGCCTGAAAACGCTGAATCAGTTTTGAAGAGAATTCATTAACCTTGAACTAGCAGCACACATAGCACAGCAGGGAACATAAGGCACCCTTAATCACATTGCAAAGATGGCACTGAACAAAAAAGGAGAAGCTGTTGTCAGGCTGAGGGCTCTAAGGCACATTAAGCATATTAAGATGAGAAAGAGAAATTACATATTGTCCTAAACAGCCTGGGAGAGTAGGGTTCCTAGGGGAACGTAAGGAAAGGAGAGGGAAAGGATAGAGGAAGAGACAGAAGAGATTAAAAAAAAACATGGTTTAACAGCTACAAACCCTGTGGTGCCACTCTGCCATTTAAGGACAGAGGATTATACAAGATTCCTCTAGAGAGTAGACCAGACACTCAAGAATCCAGATCTTCCCAGTAGTATCATAAGCTGCTACTTGATGCAGAAGTTAGTAGGCAATCTCTGTCTAGACAAGGTACCCATTCAAACTACTTATGTTCCATTTTAAATGTTGAAACCAAAAAAGATGCTCAGTGACAGATGCAAGTAATAAACTGGAAAAAAAAAATTGCTTTTTTTTTGACCTTATCACTTTTGGATCAGTGTGCAAATTCTTCATCCAACAATATGAATAGATCATCAGAGCATAGCAGTGTTCATTTATCAGTTTACTTTTTGTTCTACCATTCTATCACATTAGAAGAGAGGATAACAGAATACAGGTTACACAGTGGAGCGGACTAAATTATGTAACGTGCCTGTCATGTTATAAGGGAGCAAAGCATGAACGATATTTGCAAGTCAGGTCAATAAACCTGATGAAGCATACACTGGATTATGTAGCTGTAATCATGAAGCATAGTGGAGTACTGTTAAGTCTCAAATTTTCAGAACCACTGATCTACTTGTTGTTGCAGAATGACTCTAAGAGCAGGACCATAGAGTTCTGGAGGACTGTGCAAGCAAGGCAGGGGGTGGCCCCCACAGGTGGCCGGAGACCGGACCTGGGAGGAGAAAGTGGAGGAAGCTGTGTGGGGCTAACCAATACTGTTATGCCAAGAAGGAGTGGCTGAATACCACTCCTATATATGTGTGAACTGCGTCACAAATAAGGTGGAAGTTGCTTATCACCCATATTGGGTTGGCCTGTCTGCTTCTCCTCGCCGCTTACAAATGGCGCCCGAACAGGGACGCGGACTACAGGGCCCTGGTCGCTGGGGACCCGGATTACAGGGCCCCGACTAGCGGGGACCCGGGATACAGGGCCCCGGTCGACGGGGACCCGGGATACAGGGCCCCGGTCGACGGGGACCCGGGATACAGGGCCCCGACTAGCGGGGACCCGGAATACAGGGCCCCGGTTTAACGGGGACCCGGAATACAGGGCTCCGGTTTAACGGGGACCCGGGATACAGGGCCCCGATCGACGGGGACCCGGAACGGCGCGTGAGCGGCGCCGGCGGCAGCGGCCGGGAAGCGCGGGCAATGCCGCTGCGGTGGTGTGACGGACCCGGGTGCTTGGACTGACCGAAAGAAATCCGCCGATGGGGCGAACCAGACACTGCTGCGTCGGGAGGCCGATCCGGAGACAGAGGTTACAGGACGACCCAGAAGAAGACGATCCGGAAAAGGCTGGCCATGAAAATGGACCGAGAGGTAGCCCTGGACTTACTACAGTGCTTCTTACAAAAGCGGGGAACTGAGCCCTGAACTTTTTACAGTGCTTTTTATAAAAGCGGGGAATTGAGCCTGAGACTCTAAAGCAGCTAGCAGGTCTAGTGGCTAGGGAAGGCGAAGAGATTTTTTTTGCAGATCCTAATACAATATTTGAGGAGAGTGAGTGGCGAAAGTTTGGTGATGAACTATTTGACTCGGTGCTTAATGATTATAAAAAGGCAAAGAAACTCGGTAAACCACGGAGGGAAGTAATAAACTGTATAAAAAGATACAAGGCAGAAAAGAAAACTGCCGCGGTAGCAACGGAGAAACTAGGAACAGACGTCCCCGGTCGGTTGAAACCGGGGGAAGATTACAACTCGTTCGCCCCCCAACTCGCGGGAGCACAGGGTTTCCCCCCACCCCGCACCCCCCCCCCCTTCCTTCGCCTCCATCAGAAGGTGCCGCGGAGGAGGTGTAACCCCCTGCTCCCCCACCACCCCAGTTCCGAAAGTAGGGACTTTGAAAAGGACAGAGAAAGTATATTAGAAGGTATATGCATGATAAATGTCGAGGAATCCGAAAGAAAGAGGGCGGTGCCTCGGCGCCGGATCGATTGCGGCGCCACTGTGAAGCGCGCAGTAGAAAATAGGGATCATGCGCGAGCGGGAGATTTAAAGGAACCGCGAGCCTCTCCAACCCACTACGCCCTAGAGTGAAAAAATTTTTAACTCAGTCACGGAGGAGCCAGGTCTGCAGATGGCCACATACCGAACGAGATACATCTGATAAGAAAGACACAGCCTGCGAGCAACGGAGACCCCGAGTTCGGTGCAGGATCAGCCCCCGAATTCCCTGAATCCGAGCCAGATTTATATCCTCTGCTTCCAGACCCTGACTTTGTCTCCCGGGTCGGTCTGCTCAGACTTACTGGCCCTGGAGACGCTCAGTTGTAACAATGGGTAACCAAATATGTGATCATTACTGGGGAATTTTCTGCAGTGGGCATCTTTGCATATCCTGTGTTTACTACACAGCAGGGGGCTAAAGAGTGGGAAGCTCTTGATCTCAAAATAGTTAAGGAGGCCTGACAAACAGTGACCACGTATGGGTTAAAATCCTCTTATACTCAAGCTGTATATGTTATGATTTTTTTCTTGCAATTGACAGGGGGAGCCCATACAGTTTCTCTGTGATACTCATGTACTAGAAGTTGGTAAATATGAGTATGTCCAGGTTTCTATCAACCCTTAGAGACCTCTGTAGATACTGCTGGCCACTTCTTCCAGCACAGGCTGGCCACCTGTGTCGGAATGAGTGTGCATTTTGGTCAGTATAAAAGCCCAAGCCTCATGCGATGTGGGGGAGGCAGAGCCTCTGCAGGGACGCCCGCTAAGATTGAGCCTGCCACCTCACACTGCAATGATGCTTCTCGGAGCTGGTTTGCTGTTAGTCTCCACAGGGTCCTTGTGCCATGTTCTGTACGTGGAACTGTAGTGGGAATAATGATAGCTTTTGCAGGGACAAAAAAAAAAAAGAGGGGGGAGAGAGAGAGTAATGATGTTACATTTAACTTTAACCTGTCTACTTCTGAAGAACTGATAACCTGGGGGAGGGGGTATATTTGTGCCCTCCTGCCTACAGGTCCATGGCGACTGTCTGCAAAGTTTGTCAAGCCTTGCCATGAGCTGGACAGACGGACGAATGGATAAACCTGATGCCTCAGCTACAGGAGCTGACCGTGAATACCCCAAGCAGAATGAGATGGAGGAAGAGAAAGAACGATTAACTGCAAAACATCACTTGGGGGCAACTGAAAAGTAACACCCTGAATATGTGTGCTTGTAAAGTAGCTATATTAGAGGTTGTGATTTTGTGTATAAACCCACCTGTATTTACTAGCTAGTTGCTAATAAGAAACTGCACCTTGTATTGTATAGATTTGTCACTTGTAAAAGAGATGTTAGAGTATGGAAATTTGCAGTAGCTGCTAGAAAATGCTAAGGCAAAAGCTAGAAAAATTTTAATACAATGGTAGTGTTATAAAGCAGGTGATGGAACAAATTAAGAGGGGGGAGAATTCCACTGGTAAGAAGTTTCTTTGGCTAGTCCTTCACTGCCATCAGCATCTTCAACATGCTGCTGCACCCTGTAATAGTTACTCTGCTAATGTAAATTTGTGTGTGCCTTGCTGTAGTAGCGACTTGTTACTGGATAAAACAAAAGGGGGGAGATGTGGAGACAGTGTTCTCACAGGAGAATGCATAATTGGTACATAGGCTTTGAATAGTCCTGAAAGATACAGCAAGGCCATGAGAGGCCTGAAGAAGCTTAAGCAAGCAAGATAAGAGGCTGGAATTCACCAAGTTAATGAGAACTGTGGACTGTTGGCAAGCTTTCAAGGTTGAGTTCTCACACCTGTGTTTAACCAATTATATGTTAGTCACTAAGGGTCTTCAAAACATGTATCCAATCATAATATGCCAAATCACTGTAAGTGCTTCAGCCGGGGCCTTGGCTCAACTAAGCAGACTGGGTTGCTGAGTTGCTAAGCAGACAGTTCTACATCGAAGGCAATTTCTGATTTGTTTTAATGTTGACTCTGTAAGACATGCAACACTGCAGAACCTTTTGTTGTTGGAACAGGGACATGGATGTGAAGAGTTTGATGGAATGTGTTGTATGAGTCTCTCTGATTATGCTAATTCGATGCACACACAGCTGAGAACCCTGGCTCAGCTTACCCAGCAATAGTAAATGAGCAATATTCTAATAACTAGATGGTTGTCTTCACGGGGCATTACAGGTTGAGTCAAACACTGTTGTTTGAAGTATTGCACTTATGTATCATTGTTAGGTTAATCATCGTA